GTGCTCTGGGCTGATACAGGCCAACTCATCAGGAAAGAAGATCCTGGAAATCATCCCTGGAATCATAATGATAAGTAAATCAGTTATTTAGTGAGTCAGGACTTTAGGTGTCAGTTACTTAAAAAGCAATTAATGGTTTTACCTGGTATGACAATAATGAACATGGGAAGTATTTTCAGAAAGCCAGCCATGAGAGTAGAACCTTTGGCATGGGCAATGTTCTTTGCTGCCAGAACACGTTGCACAATTACTTGATCAGCACACCAGTACCTGGAACACAAAGGGAAAAATGCATAGACTTAACATTAAGTTCTCTTTAAAGTATCAAGTAGCATTATAGCAAGGACACTGGTTCACCTCCCATTACCTGAGCTGTCTGTACTGACTCCAAAGGCTAGTATTGTGGGTAGGGATCAGGCATAGTGCTAGGCGGTCCCGCACTTTGGTCCAAACTGAAATATCTCAACAAGTATTGGATGGATCGCCATAAACTTTAATTATAACGTATGGAGCCTTTCTGGAAAGCATGGATGTGTTCATAAAAATTCATGGCAATCTGATAAATCTATTTTTACTGCTGTTCTGTGCAGGCTGTTCTGTGAAAGGCCAAGTGGGTTAAGATTAATCTTCTTGGGGCATACACACATAAAAGAACTACATGGAATTGAACCAGTTAGGAAGTGAAACTACGTGAAAAGAACTGGACAGTTACCAAATAGAAGCAGGAGTCTGGCCCAGTAAGAAACCAGGCCAAGGCAGGTCTGGATCCCTCGTGCCTCGAAGTATCTTCAGGGCATCTGGCTTCGGGTGGAGGTGGTGGTAGCAAGATTCAGAATATGTCAGGTTGGGTGAAGAAAGCATGATGGCAGTGATGTTCGGAGTAGCCTGCATGTACTTGGTCCTTACACCTTAAAATGACATGCCAGGACATGGTTTAGCATACATTATACTGAATAGTTTAATTGATTACATGGTACAAGTGATTTAACTTTAATGTATAAATCAGATCAATACAGACCTTCAAGTCCTCCCACTTTAAAGAGGCTGATGCCTGTGAGGCACAGTGCTCCGGCGATCATGAGCAATGCCTGGACTGTATCCGTGTAGATGACAGCAACCAG